TTGTGTGCATAAATACATTTTAGGATATCATTCACAATACTGGAACAGGAACATGTCAATCTACATTGTGGGCTATTTCGTTGTGCTGTGCTTTGGTGCTGAAATCTGGAGGCAGATAGTTCATTTTGATTGCTTGTAAGAAACCAACATGGCTGGAGACAATCTCGGCTAAAGTTGAATGAAAAGAATTAATAGTATCGGTGTAGTGTATGCCATAAATAGCGATTTACTAACCAAAGCAGGTCAATTCAGGTCAGAACATCGACATCATCAGAACAAACAGATTGCTTATCTTTATATTGCACTTAGATTAATTAGATTATCTGGGATGTACTTAATGCCTTTAATTACATTATGAGAAAAGCTAAAATTGGGAGGCATTAGTTGACCTCTGCTGACCTCGGTTAAACATGGAAAAATCAGTCACAGTCACAGTCACAGCCGATGTTTTGTAGCATCACTGGGAAGATAAGATGAGAAATTGCAAGATAAGCATGAAAGTGGGTTTGGGGCAAAAGAGTTATTTCTTTACTGTGTGATTGAAATTACATAACAAGACCAAAGTGGGAAATCAAAATGTGGTACGAAAAGGTACTCGAGCAATTTAGAAAAATTCATTTTGATACCCCTAATTCGTGTGGTCTAATCGAGGCCAGTATCCCATGAGATGCGCCAAATGACATTCACTTCTTTACGCTTCTCTTTTCTCTACTTCAACAGCCTTTTCCAGCTTCAGTCTGGTCCCCAATTGTTATATTGATGCAAGTATTTGCTTCGCATTTCGTTTGATAGTGCAGAATGTAAGAGTGGTAGTATGTTTAATCTACTTGCCTTTATCCGACAAGGAGGTTGTTGTGTGTATTATTATGGCCATCAGCCAAGGCAAATTGAAATCACTTTTACAAAATTTGAATATTAGTCTTGCGTCTAGAAATGTCTAATTGAGGAGTCATTATGGACGCAGCTGAAACGAAAATATCGAAAGCACTGAATTGTTGAACTTCCTCTGAGCAGTGTAGTTCTCGATCCGCCAACAACTTGATGGGGAATGAAGAGAAGAAAAGACTTTTGAGTTGAACAGTATTTTTGTAGTAAACGCAATAAATTCACAAATATTGAAGTAGAAAGAGGTAGGTGATTGGACTCCTGGTTAGCCAATAGCAGCATCAATGTTCGCTTCACGGTGGTCCCTCTTGTCTAGGTGAGAGAGGCAGAGGTGGGGAGGAGGAGGAGAGTTAGAGAGAGAGAGAGTGAGCAGGGATCCAATAATCAATATTATTGTGCCAATGAGATAATGCTTACGAGTTTCTTTACAGATTTCGAAGATACTGGATTAGACTTCTTACCAGGTAGTTGTGTCAACAATATTTGAACATACTTAATTTTTTGAAAAGAGAATGAATGTCATGGTACGAGCATTAGAACAACTACCTTCTAGGTATGGACGACAATAGGCAAGCACTCCCACTACCCAACCCTCTACCCCACCATCAACCAGTAGTACCAATTACACCAGACACGGATAGTCCCCAATTTCTTGGATCATTGAAATTGTCTAACACTATACTGAGGTTGCTAAAATACAAAAATACATGATTCCTAGTTCATTTCTGATTGCACCATCTTACTAGTTGAGAAATGAGCTTTCGTTTGCTCCCATACAAATTTAAATTGAATGAGACGAAACCAATAAACTTTATTGCTAATATTATGCCTTTACAAGCTCAAAGTACTATTGGAAGATTCCCTTGAATTATATAAAAATTGTCTCGAGAATTAGCAGGAGAAAGAACATTCTACCGAAGAAATTAAGTAATTTAAAAGGTAAACAAGCAAACAATATATATATGCATATACATGTGCATATATGTACGTATATGTACAGAGTGAATCATTGTCTGAGATAGAATTGTGGTTTCCCATAAAAGCAATGCTGCACCGGTTTCAATTCCTGCAAAATTTGTGTCACGATGGAAGTATTGCGAGTGCTATCCGAAGTGAGCAGACCTCTTGCTCCCAGCTTCCTCAAAAGTTCTTGCATTGTGATTGGCCTACGCAGGAGGTAATTTCGAATGGTGTCAAATAACTTTTCATGTGAGGATTTAACTGGCGGATTAGAAGGAGGTGGAGGAGGAATTTCACTTGGTTTGAAACGTTTTGGAGGAGGTGTGAATATTTGTGAAGCAACGGGTGGGGGTTTTTACATCCCTGAAGAGAACGATTGCATTCAGTGTGAAGGTCCTAAAGACAGTTCACTCTTCATTCCAGATTCACCATTAAAATCTTCTTCAGTATCAGAAGAACCACTTGAAGAAGAAGACAAAGACGATTTCTCGGTCTTCTTCATCTCGTCAAGGAATACCTCTCTACTAATCCTTTGATTTTGTTGTTGAGTTTGTGTGCCTGCCCGTATTTCTCCCTTTGTGTCTTCACCATTCCTTCCCTTTTCCTTCACCTCTTCCTTGCACGAATATCTTTGTTTTGTTTATCTAAGACATCATACACGAGATAAGTTGGAGTGATGCTTCTCCAACACCCCGCTCGATTGTTAAAATTATACTATG